TATTGGGCTGCTCAGGATTTCAGGGTTCTCAGGAGTTTGGGATGTTCAGGATTTTGAGGTGTTCAACATTTTGGGATGTTCAGGATTTGGGGCATTCGGGTTTTTGGGCTGTTCAGGATTTTGGGGTGCTCAGGATATTGGGGTGTTCAGAATATTGGGCTGCTCGGGATTTTGGGGTGCTCAGGATTTCAGGGTTCTCAGGAGTTTGGGGTGATCAAGATTTTGGCCTGCTCAGGATTTTGAGGTGTTCAGGATTTGGGGCATTCAGGACTTTGGGGCACTCAGGATTTGGGAGTGTTCAAGATTTGGGGGTATTCAGGATTTTGGGATGTTCAGGATTTGGGGCACTCAGGGTTTTGGGACGTTCAGGATTTGAGGTGTTCAGGTTTTTGAGCTGTTCAGGATTTTGGGGTGCTCAGGATTTTGGGCTGCTCAGGATTTCAGGGTTCTCAGGAGTCTGGGGTGTTCAGGAGTTTGGGATGTTCAGGATTTTGAGGTGTTCAGGCTTTTGGGATGTTCAGGATTTTGAGGTGTTCAGGCTTTTGGGATGTTCAGGATTTGGGGCCCTCAGGATTTTCAGATGTTCAGGATTTTGGGCTGCTCAGGAGTTTGGGATGCTCAGGATTTGGGGCATTCAGGATCTTGGTGCGCTCAGGATTTGGGGGTGTTCGGGATTTGGGGGTATTCAGGATTTTAGGGAATTCAGAATATTGGGATGTTCAGGATATTGGGATGCTCAGGATTTTTGGGATGTTTGGGGGTTCTCAGGCTATTGAGGTGTTCAGGATTTGGGGTGTTGGGGATATTGAGGTGCTCAGGAGTTTGGGGTATCCAGGATACTGGGATGTTCAGGATATTGGAGTGTTGAAGATTTGGGGTCCTCAGGATATTGGGTGTGCTCAGCATTTTATGGATGCTCAGGATCTTGGGGTTCTCGGGATTTTGGGGTGCTCAGGATACTGGGATGTTTAGGATATTGGAGTGTTCAGGATTTGGGGTTCTCAGGATTTTGGGGGTGCTCGGGAGCTTGAGGTGCTCGGGATTTCAGAGTGTTCAGGATTTGGGGCATTCAGGATATTGGGGTGATCAGGATATTGGGCAGCTCAGGATTTTGGGGTGCTCGGGACACTGGGATGCTCAGGATTTTGAAATGGTCAGGATATTGAGGTGCTCCTGAATTTGGGGGATATAAAGGGGGTCAGGGAGCAAAAGGGGGGCAAGGGGGGATAAAGGGGGTGTAAGGGAGGGTAAGAGGGTGGAAAGGGGGACAGAGGGGGTTAAGGGGGCAGGAGGGGGGATAAATGAGGGGACAAGGGGGGTAAGAGGGGGCAAAGGGGTGTAAAGAGGGGCTGTGAGAGGGTTAAAGGGGGTGGAAGGGGGGTAAGAAAAAGTTAAAAGGGGGCAAGAGGAGTAATGGGGGTGTAAGGGGAGATGTAAGGGGGGTCAAGGGAGGGGTAATGGGGGTAGGAGGGGGATAAAGAGGGGGTAAGGTGGGGACAAGGGGGTGGGACAGAGGACATGACATGCAGTGACACACGTGACACACACGTGACACACGCCAGGGTTTATTGCCACAGCCACACCCCCCTCAGTCACTCGGCCAGCGCGGGGTCCTGCCACCAGTGCCAGGGGTCAGTTGGTCACACGGTGTCCCCAGGGCTCAGCTGGCCAGCACGGGGTCCTGGTGTCTCCAGGGGTCAATCGGTCACCACGGTGTCCACGGGGGTCACTTGGTCACTGTGGTGTCCCCAGGGGTCAGTTGGTCACCGCAGTGTCTGTGGGGTCTGTTGGTCACCGCAGTGTCCCCAGGGGTCAGTCGGTCACTGTGGTGTCCCCAGGGGTCAGTCAGCCATGGCACTGTGCTGTCGCCAATGTCCCCCCGTTGCTGGTGTCCCTGTTGGTCACTCTGCCATGGTGGTGTCCCCCAGGCTGGCCACTGCCAAGGTGGTGTCCCTGGGTTGGTCACTCAGACACAGTGGTGTCCTGGTGGTGTCCCCAGGGTTGGTCACTCATTCACGGTGGTGTCCTGGTGCCCTGGGGGTGTCCCTGGGGTCAGTCATTTAGCCACAGTGGTGTCCTGGTGGTGTCCCCAGGGTTGGTCACTCAGTC